ATTTTTTTTTTTTTTTTTTTTTTCCTCAGGCCCTTGTGATTGCAAGGCAGGAAGCGGAACCACTGAGCCAAATTCCCTGCCCAGAATTTAATTCTTTTATGTGCTTTATCAAATATTCAAAAATTACTGAGATTCACTTTATGTTCTCTTGAAAGCTGATTGGTTTAGAGATACACTCACATTTAGAGTTGAACAACTTGATGAAGTCAGAAGTAGCTCCTTCAATTTATTCATTTTGCTATCTTAATTTACTGAATTAAAAATATATATCTACTATAGTTTCTGATGCCATTCAATGAATATAGTACGTACTATGTAAAAATAATCGCACAATAAAATAATTTGCATGAAGAAAACTTTGCATTGCCTTCTGAAAAGCATTCAGTAGTTTTCTACTGAAATTGAGAACCCTCTATTAGAGCCCAAATTAGGACACCCTACGTTAAGAAAAAAAATAAGGCTTGGTTTCTTCCCATTAATTATTTTGAGCATTGGACAAAAATTCTCCCATCAGGGCTCTAATCAAAGAATAAAACATCCCTTCTTCCAGCCCCACAAGACAAGTCAGCAAATTCAGAAATAGAAGGAGAAAACCAGTGCAATCGAGGTTAGTTAACAGGACTTAGCGCCTGAACTGGACTGCACTGACCAATGACCCAGATGAATTTGGGGCACCCAGCTTTTTGCTCCCACAGCTCCCCGAATAAAAGCAGGATCACAACCTTCACTCTACCCTCCTCGTGATGGATACATCATTCTATCGCTGAACAGAAGACAAGCACTGACCTAGTTTAGAAGTGCAGATGAAAAGAAAATGAAAACAGAATACATGACAACGGGCAAGGAAACCATGGTAACAAGGAGAGAAGACTGTTTTGCTTACTTTATTTTGGTCAGAATAATCAGCAAGCTGAGCCTTCAGCTCTGAAATCTCGCCCTCTAACAGACGGATCACTTCCTCGTAGTCCATTTCCATTCCGTGCGCCTGTCTCTGCGCGGCTTCAGCAAGATGAATCCGGGTTCGCAGAGCTCTTGTTTCTTCAGCGACAGCTTTGGCTTCCTAGGTAGTTCGAAATGAATGTCACTGAGAGACACACGCGCGCACACACACACACACACACACACACACACACACACACACACACACACACACACAAAATAGTTCAGTGGTCTACACAAAATGTTATAATCGCAAAGCAGCATGAGTATGTTCCTCTCTCCACTTTGAAATTAATCTTCACGTTATTTTTTTTTAATTTCATGTTATTTTAATATGTGGACTAGGTGCCGATCTGGCTTTTTTTCTTTGTTGATTTCTTGGAAATACTTCCGTATAGCATCTCTAACTTCGTGCACCTAACATCCGGAAAACAAGGTAAGCTGGAGAGACTTAAAACAGAAAGTAGACTAGAAGTGGTTCAAAAGATAGGAAGAGTAGGCTACAACAAAACTCAAGTTGGTAGCAGGGTTCACACTCCAGGAAGGCTCTAGAAGCTGCATTGTAAGATTCCAAGAGCTTCATAATGTTGTGGGCCTGCTTTGTGGACCAAGCCCCAGGGGCCATAGCTTGTTCCTGAACATGGCTGTTATTTCTCACTTTCGCTTTAAGCCCGAAAAGGTGGAATCTAGTAGCAAATTATGTAGCTAAATCTATAGGAACCAACGTTCATAGGACAGTTATTAAACGCACACTGTCTCAAGTGCTTTATCTATCTTATTCAAAAAACATTAAGAGAAAGGCATTATTAAAAACGTAAAAAAAAAAAAACTTGTACATCAGCAGAGACTCAGAGAAGTTTATAACCTACTCAAGGACACATGCCCATTGTGTGCCCAAATGCAGACCCAGGTCTGCTTGACTCCAACACCAATCTTTTTCTTTCATTATTTTATCCTGCCTTTAAAAAACAAAATAAAAATACCCTGTATACTATACTTTCCACCTTAGCAAGAAGTGAGAGGGGCCAAAACCACTTGCTCTCTCAAATGTAACTTCCTTCCTGGGTATAGGTGGCCCACACCTGTAATCCCAGAATTCAGCAGGCTGAGGCTGGAGGATCTCTGAGTCTGGGGCTAGACTGGGCTACACAGTGAGTTCAAAACCTGCCTGAAATACATAGCGAGACCCTGTTAAAAAAAAAATCAAAATGTAACTCGCTGTTGAGTCGGATAGTCTACTAGGATACCACTACAATTTAACATGGGAGTTATACTATAATCCATTTCTTTTTCTTTACTTGATGAAGAAATAGGTCTTCTCTGCAATGGAATTTTCTGCTCTAATTGCTATAGCTGATATTAAACTGTGGCTATTTTAACTGTCTTAGAGTTGTTACAGAGCCCTTGCTTTTGTTTGAGCCTAAATACATTTGATGTACCAAGAGGGTTAAGAGAATGGACACTTTCTTTATTTTTTAGGTTATATATTTCTATATCAATTTTTAAAATTTTATGAAAAAATTTATAACAAAAAAGAAAAATAGTTAATACACTGTGTATCATTATCTGCAAAGTAGTTACTCAGAATATGACAGTAAACATCCTCTCTTATAAAGAAGTTGATATTAGCACAAAACTTTCTTCTCAGTGAAAAAGAGAAAGTAGTAGGATGAGTGAAACAAATTGGCATATATCTTGAAATATTTTTTTAATGGAGTAGGTAATTGGGGAATTATTTGAGCTTTTCCCTATTTCCTGTTTATCTGTCTTCTGTTTTTCTCTTTATTCTTAAATATATAGAGTTTCTGATATAAGAGAAATCATCAATGAATGTTGGATTTTGTCAAAGGCATTTTCTGTATCTATTGAGATGATCATGTGATTTTGACATTGCTTTATGTGATGAATAATATTTATTGATTTGCATGTGTTGAACCATCTTTGCATCCTTGGCCTGAAGCGTATTTGGTCATGGTGTATGATCTTTTTGATGATATGCTGCATTGTGTTGGCCAGTATGATGTTAAGGATTTTTGCATCTATGTTCATTATAGAGATTGGCAAGTAGTTGTCTTTTTTGGTTGGACCTTCATCTGATTTAAGGATCAGGATAATGCTAGCTTCTAAGGATGATTTTGAAAGTACTCCTTCCCTCTTCATTTCATTAAAGAGTTTGAGGAGTATTCATGTTAGATCTCCCCTCAAGTTCTTGTAGACATTGTTGTACAAGCTGTGCATTTGGACTGTTCTTGTTTTTTGAGGACTTTGTGATGCATCAATAGGTTATTTCTTTGGGCTCATTATGTTTTTCTGATGTGGGCATTCACAGCTATGAACTTCCCTGATGGGTCCAGTTTCATCATCATGTCCCATAAGTTCTGGTATGTTGCACTGACATACCATTGAATTCTAGGAATTGTATTAATTTTCCTTAATTTCCTCTATGACCCATTATTATTCAAAAATGTGTTGCTTAATTTCCATAGGATTGCATACTTTTGCCAGTTTCTTTTATAAAAGATTTATAAAATGCAAAAGATGTATACGATCTGATGAGAAACCAGAGTATTGCTATTTATTTTTAGCTTAACTGCACTGTGACTTGATAATATGCACAGAAAAATTTTGATTCTTTTGTATTTACTTTGGCCTGCTTTGTTAGGTAGTATGTGGTTTATTTTGGAAAAAGTACCATGTGCTGTAGAAAATAGTGTTTATTCTGTTGATGGGTGGAATATTATGTGTGTATCTATTAAGTCCATTTGTTCAAAGGTTTGATTCAGCTGACATTTCTGTGTTGACTTTTTGTTTAGTTTGTCTATTTGTGATAGTGGGGTATCAGTATACTTATATTGATTTTACTTGATCTTTTATGCCTACTAGTGTTTGTTTTATGTAGTTGGGTGCATATATGATCATAAATTCTTCTGTTGAATGGTTCTGTTGACCAATATGTGATGTCTTTCTTTATTCCTTTTGATCAGTTTTGGCTTGAAGTCCACTTTGTCTGAAAACAAGATAGCTACTCCTGCTTGTTTCTGTTGCATGGACTATGTTTTTGCATTCTTTATATTTTTAGTCTATAAATTTCTTTTTGTGTTAAATGTGTTTCTTGTATAGAGCATACCACTAATGATTTTTTAACCTATTCTGATAATCTGTGTCTTTTGATTGGCAAGCTGAGCTCATTTATATTGCTGCACTAGTCATAATTGCCAGGTATTAACTTATTCCTGTCACTGTATTTTTATTTTGTTGTTATTTTGGTTTCTTTGTCTTCTACTTAACTGCTGCTCCTAGGTGATGCACTGATTCTACTGGACCTTTTGGCCCTGTTAGTGGCATCGCCTCCTTCTATGGGATATCCTTGAGATTTTTTTGTAGTGTTGGTTTGCTCGTCATGAATTTCTTTAGATTCTTTTTATTATGGAAATAACTCTTTTCTCCATCAATTTTGAAAGATAATTCTGCAGAATATAACAGCCTGGGATGTTAGTTGTCTTCCTTTAGAGTTTGAAACACTTCATTCTAAGCTCTGCTTGCCTATAAGGTTTTGGTTGAGAAGTCTGTAATAATTCTGATGGGATTCCCTTTATCGATGATCCATTGCTTTTCTCTAGCAATCCTTTAAGACTGTTCTTGAGCTGGACTTATGGTATTTTAATTATTACACAGTGTGGAGCTTCCCCCCGCCCCCCGATCATAGCTCTTTAGGGTTTTATATGCGTCACTTCTCTGTATGTTAAATTCTTTTTCCACATCTGGAAAGTTTTTTGCTGTTACTTTTATAAAAATTTTCATGCCATTTGTTGTTTTCTGATTTTTCATTAATTCCAACAACCTTATATTAGTCTTCTCTGAGTCTTGAAGCTGTTGGACTGATTTTTCATGTTATTTTGTTGTTTTTAAGGCATCTTTCATTAACTGACCACTGACTGAAGCTCTGTCCTCTAGATCTGACAGTTTGTCTTCACACTGGTCACTTCTAGTGCCCATACTTTCAGTTGCATTTTTAATCTCCTTTGCATTTGGAACTTGTTTTTTTTAATGAATCTTCCTTTTCTGTGCTGGGCATGTGTGATTCGTATCTCTTTGGTTAGCTCTACTAGAGTTTTATTAGTGTCTTCTCTAGATTTGCTGATCACTTGCACCATTAGGATCATTATCTGATAGTTATACTTCCTTTAAATTCACAAAGTACCTTACAGAATTGTTGTACCTCCACTGATACTCTTTCAGACCCTGTAGTGTGGCTTATGGTTTCCTCCCCCTTGATGTCCCCTGAGCCGGTTTTGGTTTGGTTGGGAGATTTTAGAGGTATTTTGTTGCCTTGTCTTCCCACATTTCTAATTTTTTGTTTTTGTGTTGGGGTTTTCAGCTTCTTTGGTCCAGTGCCCAGTTGCTCAAGTGAGCTGAAGCATTATTTATGACCTCCAGCCAATTCAGATGTTGGTATACAAAGAAAACCAACTGACAGCACCAACTATGTTACCTCGGGTATAGTAGTAAAATCAGATAATGGCATCACATATCAACCAAATACTGACAAACCTTAAGAACGACTCACAAATTACCCTTAACCGGAGCAAAGTGAGGACACTTCAGCCATTGAAATATTGAACTGTATTAACTCAGGCCACTAATTTCTGCAGGACGTATGCAGCAGACCATGAGCTCAAGAGTACCACTGGACTGAATGCCATCTTTATGTCCACCCCCTCTGAAGCTTATATCCATCAAATCTGGTTTCCCCGCAGGACACAGACCCCATGATCCTCCTGGCCTTCTAGAGGACCCCAAGAAATCTCTGTTTAGCTCTCACCATCTTCAACCCTGTCTCCCGAGGTTTCTCTCACCTGGTCTCTGTGGTAGGGTAATGACATTTCAGTCCTGGAGCTAAACCCTCCTCCTGGGTGTTGGTCTCATCTTCAGTCAGGTCAGTGTTTGGGCTGTCACTTCTGCTGCCCTGTGCTATGGAGAATGTAGAGGCAGAGCTGGCTAGGATTTGGTAGTTAGGCTGTTGTCCTCTTGCCTCCTTTGCATTGCACAGGGCCTAGGCTGGTGATGGCAGCAGGAGACGTAGGATGCCCAAGCCCTCTCTCCTGCCTGCCGCATAGGTTG